TTTCTTCCGTTCGGTTTCCTGAACACAGATTCTGAAGGAACTCTAATCATAATTTCCCTTACTTTTTTCCTACATTATTCATGTTTCAATTAGTGGGTACCTTTAATTTTTCAGAGCCTTCCACCGACTTCATCGATATTACTTCCTTACCGTTCCATGTAAAGGTAGATTAAAAATATATATCCTGCCAGAGCTTCTGTTTCCCTTATGGCCAAGTTACAAATTATGTAGCATAGGTGTAATATTTGAATAAGTTATTTCTTTCTCTCTTTTTTTATCAGAAAAAAGGCAAATAAAGTATTATATTCTTGTATTCCTCCCTCTGAATTACAGACCAAGTATGGTTTAAGTATAAGTCTGCTTTTTCCAAATGGACATAAAAGGTCCCATAAAAGGCAAGTATGAAAGAGGATAAGGACTAAGTTATAGAAGTATACAACTGGAAGAAACCATTTAGGCCATCAAGCCCATATCAAAGCATCATTGACAAATCATACTCTTCTAGAGAAATCACTAGCAGTAAAGATCTTACTTATGTATCTACCTAAAAATGACCTCAACATCAAATGGTTTTCATAACTAGGATGTTGTATGAGATGACCAGGCTAAGCCTGAGGGAGGGGTCAAACACGTCATCAGTCTCAAGTCCCTTCATGCCCACAAGAGATCTAAGTCCAGCCCACCTTGAATTCCTACCACCAATTTACTTTGACCATTAATAGTTCAGATTCTGGTAGAGAGCATTAACTTACAATAAATCTATAGAGCAGTTGTCCTTGACTTACACAGTTCATTTAGCAAGCATTCAAAGTTACAATGTCACTGAAAAAGTGACTTATGACCGTTTTGCACACTTACAATTGTTGCACCATGGTCAGGTGATCAAAATTTGGATGCTTGGCAACTGGTTCACATTTATGACAGTTGCAGTGTCCTGGAATCATGTGACCATCTTTTGCGACCTTCTGACAAGCAAAGTTAATGAGGAAACTAGATTCACTTAACAACCATGTTACTAACTTAACAGCAGAAGTGATTCACTTAACAACTGTGGAAAGAAAGGTAATAAAATATTGCAAAATTCTCTTTACAACTGCTCACTTAGCAACAGAAATTTTGGGCTCAATTGTGGTCATAAGTCAAGGACTGCCTGTATTCCTTTGAGCTGCCTGGATTCCTGAATTCCTGCACTTGACAGATGGTTTTTTTCTGAAAATTCCATGTTTTTCCTAATATTTCAATCACCAAATATGCTTTATAATTTAGCTTTTCTTTCTGTACCCCTTTCCTCTCCTGTCCTCTCCTGTCCTGTCCTCTCTTCTCTTCAAACCAGTAGTGGGGTTCAAATAATTTAACAACCAGTTATCTGCCCTAATGACTGGCTGGGTAGGCGTGGCCAGGTGGTCATGTGACTGGATGGGTGTGGCCAACTCGACATCACTCATCACACCCAGCCCTGCCTCCTGGCTACTCGCCTCAAAGGCAGACATAAGATTCAGTCGGTTCGGACCAGTTTGGGCTAATCCCACCACTGGCTGGCTCCGCCCCCACCCATTTTTTGGATTCCAAAACAGCCTGAAATACATCCTGAAATGGCCAAAAAACAGCCCAAAAAACAGTCAAAACTGCCCAAAAAATGCCGCCAAAACAGCTCAAAAAATGGCTGAAAAACAGACCAGAAAATGGGCAGGGGCTGGGCTAGCCAGTGGTGGGATTAGCCGGTTCGCCAAACTGGGCAGAATTTTAACAACAAAATCGGTCTGAACTGGCTGAAGCCCACCTCTGCCTCAAATGCAATCCAGCTAACAATTCAGAGTCATTATGCCTTGCATTGGACCATCAGAAACAGCAGTGGAAGCAAGAAAGCAGGAAACAATTGGAACACCTCTAGAACATCCTGTCGTCATCCCCGGCCCCCATGAAGTGAGATCTAAAAGGGCTTAAAGAACTGGCTCTGCCAGCTGTCTAGGGCCCCAATAGGAAAGTGGCAACTTGGAGGTGTTTAGTGGATTAGTCAGACCCCACTTCCTCTCCATGCACCCTGTGCTTCCTTCCTTTTCATCCTAGTTAATTGAATTTTAACTGAATTTTAAATGTATGGTTCTTATGTTGTTTTAATGTTTTATATGGTATTTAATTGCATGACTGTAAGCTGCCTAGCACAGCTAGGGTGGCACAGAAGTTTAATAATAAAAAAAAAAACAAGAATTGGAATGCAAGCATGGAACTAGCAGGAATTAACAAAATTAGCAAAATAGTCTTCTCTCCATAAAAGTCTGTAGAGATTCTCAGTCATCCAGGTCATGGTTGTCCCAAAGGTGCTTTTTTAGGCGGCAACTGGACTTTCTTGTTTTTTCTTTTGAAGACGTTTCACTTCTCATCCAAGAAGTTTCTTCAGCTCTGACAGGATAGTGAGGAATGGAAGAATTTATATTCCTTGCAGACAGCTGTTAATTTGCATCCTTTTATTTAGAGGGTCGTTGAAGCACTTGGAGGTTTATCTGTGTCTTCTTTCCATTCTTCAAGCCTTACTTTCTTGTACTCACCTTTTAAAAACACTAATGTTCAACCTGGACAAACTATGGCCTCAGGTCCATGTGAAAATCCCTGAATCCACCTTTTTAAAAAATAAATAAATAAATGTTCTCCTCGACACCATATATATAGTGAAAATGAATCCGGCCCATGACTTGTAATAACAAGCACAGGTAATTAATTACTGATTCAGATGCCACCTGCTTCCAATACATAGCATTTTGGAGCATGTTCTCATCTAAAATTGCAGACTAATTGGGGAGAATCTAATCCTAATGCAATATATTTTATATTAGGCCTTCTCTTTAGCCTGGGAAGGGGAATGAATTATAAGTCTTAAGTGCTACACTTCCACATTTTTCTTTTTATCAGTTCATGATGCACGTGATGTACTTATTTTTAGGATTAAAAAGAGACAATTATATATGGTTTGTCGCCAATAATAGGGTCACAAAGAGAAAGCTCTGGGGAAAAGTATTTTAGAATATCGCTTGCCTTAGACTTCTGAAATGCAAAGAAGGGGGAGCAATTCAATAAGTCTGCTGTAGTTTTTTTAAAAAAACAGTTCCTACTGTGTATCATGATGGAATATCTCTAATAAATCTTGGAAGATTTGGTTGGTAGGAGTGGGGATGAGTCAATCACAAACCAGAGGAAGAGTTTCAGGGAAGGAGAAATGTAAGTGGTAGGTTGAAAGTGCAAATGCATGAGGTAATTCTGTATTAGTCATCCCAAGCCATTAACTGAATATTACGGTTTCACTGTTTTTCTTAATATGCTAAACGTTTTAACATAGCGTTCTCTCGCTCTCTCGCTCTCTTTCTTTCTCTTTTTCTCTCTCTCTCTCTCTCATACACAAACACACACACACACACACACACACCAAGGATGCTGCCTTTGTCTGCAGTAGAGAAGATGTGTTACGCAGGACTTAGTGTAAAATATTCAATGCCTATTTTTAACATAAATTTTCTCTGAGGTTTTCTTTTCAACTACTCACTTGTGTACTATTTGGAATGCAAATGTTCATAATATTGAGTGTTTTGGAAACCTAATTGTGTGTGGTAGTGGATTTTGTGCATCACAACCATTCTACTACTTCTCTTCTAATTTTCCAATATATATTTTCCTAGAATCTGCAGAAAATTCATAAAAACAGGGATGGCCTCTGTGTCTCACAGAGAATCATAGCAATCCAAGGATATCTATCAAAGGTCCTTGGTGGCCACTGAGCTTGGTTGTTTTCTTGCAGACACTTCATTACCAAACTAGGTAACATCATCAGTGCTAAAAGGAATGGGATTTGCTCTCATTTAGTGACTTGTCTTGCCAGTGCTGCTTTGAGTGGAGCTTTGTGTCTGCTGTCAAGAAGCAGAAAACAAAATGGCAAGGATAATCATAGGAATCATGAAGCAAGACTAAAACGTAATAAAGCTCTAAAATCTGAGAACTTCCCAATGACCAGCAGTGATTTCAGTGAAAATCTGGAGGAATGCTTTCCTTTAAAAATTATTCTTCAAAGAAACTTTGGGACAAATGCAACTTTTTCAACATGGCAGTGTTGGGCAATTCCCAACAGTGTAAAAGTAGTGAAAAATGCATCTAGATCCTCATTTCATATTATTGCAGGCACCTATTAAAATAAATACTTAATTTCTTTCTTCAGATGGATTTTTATTTATTTATTTGCAAAGGTGGATATTAATGTGCCAACAAACCAGCAATGACTTTCAGAGCAGAATGGGTAAAATGATGTGTGAAATTGTTTTAACCTTCTGATAAATGAATGTTCTGTGACTGATCATGGTAGGCTACTGGAAGACTTTGTGAGAATATACAGAACAGAATAACAGAGTTGGAAGGAACATTGGAGTCTCCTAGTCCACCCCCCTGCTAAAGCAGTAAACTCTATAACATAGCAAACATAACAATATCTTCTTTAAAAACTCCAGTATTGGAGCACCCACAACTTCTGGAGGCAAGCTGTTCCATTGATTAATTGTTCTCACTGTCAGGAAATTCTTCCTTAGTTTTAGGTTGGTTCTCTCCTTGACTAGTTTCCCATCCATTGCTTCTTGTTCTGCCTTCAGGTGCTTTGAAGAATATCACATGCTTTCAGACTTTGATCAAATGCCTTTTGTCAGATCACAAGACGTATAGTTTCAGGATAGCCTGATGGCTGGCTCTAGTTACCCAAATCTTCAAAAAAAAAAAAAACTGCAAAATTGAAAAGAATGCACTTCCAAAGCCATAATAATATTGAAATGCATATAGCAGAGGTTTTAATCACTGGCACCCACAAGTAGGGTCAAGAGGAAGCAAATGATGAAAGTAGTATCAGAGCCTCACATCCTAAGCTGCATCCTTTTTCTATATGCATTGTGACATAATGAGCTGTGGTGGTGCAGTGGTTAGAATGCTGACTGCTGACTGCTGGCTGCTGGCGGCTGCTGGCTGCTGGCTGCAGTTCAACAGTTCAAATCTCACCAGGCTCAAGGTTGAGTCAGCCTTCCATCCTTCTGAGGTGGGTAAAATGAGGACCCAGATTGTTTGGGGCAACCGCTTAGAGAGGGCTCTAAAGCACTGTAAAGCAGTATATGCTTTATACTGAAGAAGGCACAGAAGAGACTGTACTTCCCGAGAATGCTCAGAAAGATAAATCTATCTCAGCATCTACTTCTGTCCTACTATCGCAGCAGAGGTGGGTTTCAGCAGGTTCTCACCAATTTTGGAGAACTGGTAGCGGAAATTCTGAGTAGTTCGGAGAACCGGTAGTAAAAATTCTGACTGGTCCTGCCCCCATCTATTCTCTGCTTCCCAAGTCCCAGCTGATCGGGAGGGAATGGAGATTTTACAGTAACCTTCCCCTGGATTGGGGAGGGAATGGAGATTTTACAATATAATTCCCCTGGAGTGGGGTGGGAATGGAGATTTTACAGTATCCTTCCCCTGCCATGCCCACCAAGCCAAGCCCACCAAGCCACACCCACAGAACTGGTAGTAAAAAATGTTGAAATCCACCACTGTATCGCAGCACTATTGAGAGTGTCCTGACATACGGCATTCTTGCATGGTATGGGAGCAGCTCTGCAGCGGACATAAAAGCTCTACAGAGAATTATTAAAACTGCCCAGAATATCATCGGGCTCCAGCTACCAGCCCTCGATGACATCTTCGCATCTCGCTGTTTGAGGAAGTTGCACAACATTCTCAGAGACTCTTCCCATCCTGCTTACAATCTTTTTGGACTGTTGCCTTCTGGCAGAAGATACAGAACAATTAAAACTCAGACCACACGTCTTCTGAATAGTTTTTATCCCAGAGCTATAACTGCACTCAACAATGAACTAAAGGGCCACCATCAGTGAGCTGTTGGACAGCATTACTTGGTCTGCTGTGTGGATGCTTGGGTGGTTTAGGGGTGGGGAATTTTTGGTGGGTGGGGATGTGTCTGGGGATTGTCATGTGTGTTGGGCTTGGTCTCTGGGTGTTATGTGAATTTCATTGTATGGGTATACTGTGTATAAACGTACAATGACAATAAACTTTATAAATTATATAAGTCTAAGTGTTATTGCTATTGCACACATGTGCACAAGAGATGGAGCTCACGGTGGGATACTTCTGTGGGTGCCTTTGTTTGCACTATGTGCAAAACACTTGTCTTCTCCAGAAAATGTAACTCAAAAATAATAACTGGTATTTTGCAGCAGGATGAGAATTTGATAAAACAAATAAGAGACAAAAGTCAAATGCATATAAAAAGGTTGTATAATGTGTTAGTGGAAATAGATTCAGAAACAGAGCTAGTCAAGGATTGTATGATAAAATGGGCACAAAATTTAGGAGAACCAATAATGATGGAAACATGGGAAAAGATATGGGTTAGAAATGTAAGATTTACACAAGCCCAAAACCTAAGAGAGAACTTTTATAAAATGTTTTCTAGATGCCAGTTAGATCCAAAAAAACCTAGCCTGTATGTATCCAAACTTACAACCTAAGTGTTGGCGATGCGAGTGTGAAGATGCTACATACTTTCATATATGGTGGACATGTAAAAAAATTAAGGCTTTTTGGATAAAAATATGGTGGATTATTCAAAATATTTTAAAGAAAAAGATTAAATTTACACCACAGTTTTTTTGTTGGGAATAGTTACGGATTGTACTGTAATAGAGACTAAGTTGGTTTTGAATTTAATAACAGCTGCCAGGTTACTAGTGGCACAGTTTTGGAAGAAGGAAGATCCACCTACTATTGAGGAATGGACACTAAAAGTCGTGCATTTGGCAGAGATGGCAAAAATTTCATCATATCTTAAAGATCCCTCAAACGAAAGATACATATTGGAATGGAGAAGATGGATCGACTATATTCAAAACAAGTATGAGATTAAGAAGATTTATATAGTTTATGAATGAAACATTTTCAATCTCTAGTTTATGTTTATAGGGTTTTGAGCTATAAGGAGTTAAAGACCTAGAGAGAATCTGAAGTCAATAATTTGTTAGCATATTTTAGTTCTATGTTTGTGAATGCTATACCCTGTGCTTGTTCTGGGAAGTTTAGGGAGGGGGTGGGGGGGGAAGGGGGAGGGGAGAAAATGTTTGTATTTCCTATAAAACTTTTCAATAAAAAAAAACTGATCAAACAAAGAACAAGAGCGAGATAGTAGTTCATTCAGTGAGCCAAAGCTATGTAGCCTATGTACAATAAATCAGCCAAGTTATAGGAACAGCTCTCTCTATAACACAACATTATCTTTTGTCCTTGCTTTTGAAAATCAGACAAAGAAAATCTCATTCCCAACTAAGTGCCAATGTCTTTTGGTGAGATTTCTCTGTTGTTCATGAAGGGTTTATTAAGTATCCCAGTGCAGCTTTCCATCTGACTTAAGTCTCAAGCATCAACACTTCAACAGCATCCTTCACTTCTGTCACCACTTCTTGGGCACTTAATGAAATGCCCACCTCTGAAACGGCTTGTCTCCTTCTCTACCGCCCCTCCTGAAGAGCATAAAGAAGAATCTTTGATACCGGGCTGGTGGAGCCTACGGCATTCAGCAACAATCTGATTTGAGAACATTTATTTTTCCAATCCCACTCCAATTATCTGCCACATCATGGCCATTTCAGTGCTTTGATGAATTCCCTGAAATGCTCTTGCTCGTTCTTTAAGTCATGGCTGGAAGGTCTCTGTTTGGGACTAATCACAAAGAGAAGCAATGTGCCTCTTCCTTGTCAACTTCCTCAAAGCTTGTGAAAATGAGGAAGATTTTGTTGCAATCTTCCAACATTTTTCTAAATATCTTACAAATCAAAACACTCTGGGTGGGTTACAGTAGATTCAAATGTGTAGAACAACAACAGAAGTAAACAAAAATTACAAAAATCAAGCGTAATAATAAAGCAACTCTCCCTTAAGATGTCTACCAAGGTCCCAATGAAATAAAACTTTTTTAAAAAGTTCTGAAAACCTTCCCTCTTCTCCCAGCACACATTTTGCATGGATACAATCTACAGATGGTCCTTGACTTACAACCATTTGTTTAGTGACAGTTCAAAGTTTTAACAGCACTGGAAAAAACCTGACTGGTTTTCACACTCATAACCATTGTGGCAGGGGTGAAATGCTCCTGGTTCAGACCGGATCGCCCAATCCAATAGCGATGGAGGCGGGTGGTTCGGAGAACCGGTAGCAAAAATCCCTGCCCAAAGCCCCCTCATGCCCAGCTGAGCCGCACAATCATCAGAGGCTTTTTTTTTACTTTTAAAAGCATTTTTTCTACAACCTCTTTGGCCGAGGTTTGGCTCAGCTTGGATCATCAGAGGCATTTAAAAGAAAAAAAGCCTCTGCCGATCAGGCAACTCAGCTGGGATCATCAGAGCCTTCTGAAAGCATTTTTTTATAACCTCTTTGCTGAAGAGGTTGTAGAAAAAATGGTTTTAAAAGTAAAAAAAAAAAAAAATTGGCCATGCCCACCCAGTCACATTACCCCCACCACCACCAAACCACGCCCACAGAACCGGCAGTAAGAAATTTTAGATTTCACCACTGCATTGTGGCATCTCTGTGGTCACATGATCAAAATTTGGGCAACTGGCATGTATTTATGATGATTGAAGTGTCCCAGATCATGTGAACACCTCTTGCAAACTTCTGACGAGCAGCGTCAACAGGGAAGCCAGATTTAAGTTAACAGCCATGTTACTAACTTAACAACTGTGGCATTTTAATGAAAGAAACAAAATGTTAAAAAAATATGATATTTATGTAGTTGCATACCAAGCACATCTAAATTATATTAAAGTAACCAAAATATCTTTATAATTCCCAAGGCATGTCACAACGTTTGAGCACCCTTAATGTTTGGAAATTGAAAGTTGAAAAATTTGACACACCCTACGTAGCAAACAAGATTGTAAAATGGGACAAAACTCACTTAACTACTGCTTTGCTTAGCAACAGAAATTTGGGGCTCAACTGTGGTCATAAGTCAAGGACCCTCCTCAAGGACAACCTGTACAATATTATTGAAGATGAAGTCTCTGGCCTGCATCTGACCAACTCCTATTGACCACTTCAGATTGTTGTGGCATACTATCTTTGTTTAGATCCCCAGGACCTCTTTTGGGGGAGCCATTTTGATTCTTGCTTTAGAGGTTTACAAACTCAACCATCAGATGCTCCTGATGTTCTTGATTGATGAACGTGTGCAAGCAGCCATCTAAAATGATCACCCTTGATCGGGGTGAAATGCTCCCGGTTCGAACTGGATCGCCTGATCCGGTAGCGATGGCGGTGGGTGGTTCGGAGAACCGATAGCAAAAATCCCTGCCGCCCCCCCCCCTCATGCCCAGCTGAGCCACGCAATCATCAGAGGCTTTTTTTTTATTATTTTTAAAAGCATTTCTTCTACAACCTCTTCGGCAGAAAAAAATGCTTTTAAAAGTAAAAAAAAATTGGCCACGCCCACCAGTCACATTACCTCCCACCAAGCCACGCCCACAGAACCGGTAGTAACAAATTTTACATTTCACCACTGCCCTTGATCATTGTCAATCCTATCATCATCTGTAATAAACACCTGAGTACAGTGGCTCCTGACTATGCCCAGCAACATTTGGATGAATTCCTATAAAAACCTGAAAGGGTGGAGAATAGAATCACATGCATATAAAGAGACAGTAACTGCAACTATTGAAAAAAACCTGCTTGCCAGTCACAAGAAAATGATAAATTTATGCAAGGCAAGCTTCAGCAACTGCGTTTCATTCAGCATTTCCTGTGTTATTTGTCCTTCTGATTTGGAGCTTAGAAACTTAGTCTCTTCCCATCCATGCTTTTGTGTGAAAATTTCTGTAAGGCACTTTTTTAAAAAGTGAAGTCTTGCATCTCCCTTTCCATGTTTCTTTTGCCTGTGGTGTTCTTATTACTAAAGTCTACATTCGTGCACACAGACACCTGGATTTCATGATTCTACATTTTCTTTTCTCATTAGCAGGCACCCCCCACAGCCATATCTAGCAAGCCATGATTTTGTGCTATGACTGTGCTGCAAATCCAGGGAACAAAGGATTAATTCCTCCCTTCTAACGAGTGAATAGTTTTAAGCAAACTCTCAAAACAAAATTAGAAAGGGTGAAATGCTCAAACCTGTTAGAAGTCATAGATAAGATCAGCTTCAACAACAGCTTAAATATTAGATTGATATTCATCCCAGAATCGTGATTTGAGACCAGTTTATTCCTTCTAATTATTCACATCCATTCATTGGCACCCTTCAGTCTCAAGAGACTTTCCAGAGCACTTTCGTAGTCTGGAAAGAGGTCCTAAAACAGCATTTAGTGTGACTAAGAAGGCCAATTCGAGAGTGGCAATCCCTTCCACACTGGGGGCAGATACATTCTGTCCCCTGCCCAGCCCCCAGATTGCGCTGGTTCCGGGACTGCCTCTTTGCCTCAGCACTGCCGAACAAGTGTCTCTTCAAATTGGAGAAGGCCATGCTGCGTCTTTAGCCTCCAAGCTGAACGATCAGAGGTCAAGGTTTCCCAGTTGTTAATAATAATTAATAACAATTATTAATAGCAATTATTCACAACTGATTTGCAATTGCATAGAAATAAAACCTACAGTGGGATTTACTGCTGGAAAAATATGTTTTGGATTGCAACATACATGTACACTCTTTCAAAAAGCATTAAATTCATATCTAACTGGTGGTCCCCACCCCAACATCTGGCAGGGGTGGCAAGAGTTGGGTTCATAGAACAGGATCCTGCCTGGTTCAGAGTACTACTCTAACAAAACCCATCAACTTTTTGGGTGGCTGACTCTCCATTTCTCCTGTTACCCATTATACCTCTCACAACCTGTTAGAGGGTGTTAATAAGAAGAAAGCAGGAGGAAACTCTTTGCTCCCCAAGCCTTTCCCAACAACTAATCTTCAAGGTGGGAAGAACTGTCCAGTGAAGGCCCTGTCTCACCCAAAGCCTACAGGATGGTGAAGATTGTCTGATAAAGCAAGAAAAGCTTTATCACTGGGCAGCTTCTATATCCTAACTCTAACATGACAAAATAACAATTTATATTTGGCTGAAAGACAGTTATTAATGATGAACATGACTGCTTTCAGTCAGGTCAATAAAAAAGAAGAGAATATTACTACCCATTTTGCAAAGAGAAACTAGCCGTCTTACTACAGGGAGTCCTCGACGTACAACCACAACTGAGTCCAAAATTTATGTTGCAAAGTGAGAAATTTGTTATGTGAGTTTTGCCCCATTTTACCACTCTTCTTGCCACATTTGTTAAGTGAATCACTGCAGTTGTTAAATTAGTAACACATTTGTTAAGTGAATCTGGTTTCCCTATTGACTTTGCTTGTCAGAAAGTTGAAAAGGGAGATCACATGTCCCCAGGACACTGTAGCCTTCATAAATGTGAATCAGTTGTCAAGCATCTGAATGGAAATCACATGACTATGGGGATGCTGCAATGATCATAAGTGTGAAAAATGGTCATAAGTCACTTTTTTTCAATGCCATTGTAACTTTGAACAATCACTGAGTGAACTTGTAAGGACTTGCTTTTCCTCTCCGATCAAGAAAGTAGAATTCTTGAAGCACTTAGCACTTCAAAAGGAAACTTTTATTGAAAGGAAAGTGATAGCAAGACAAGGAAAGCAGGATCTGAAGATTCCCGTGCAATTCCATTAGATTATTTTATTAGTCATATTTTTATTAGTCATATTTCTATGCCGCCCATTCTCCGAGGACTCTGGGCAGCTTACACCAAAGACAATATACTAAATAGTATATTGCCCCCAACAATCTGGGTCCTCATTTTACCCACCTCGGAAGGATGGAAGATTAAAACTGTTAGAGAGTTTTAGTCTAACTCCCCTCAGTCTGGGTGCTGAATAAACCAATCTGCAGG